GAAGCAGAGAAGGTTTTTGTTGAACTTTGGCTTTCAGGTAGTTCATTCACATTTAAATTGCCACGTTATTGATAACTAGAGTTTGCTTTGCTTCCCAGACAGCTGCTGTTTCTGATCTACACATGAACACATTAATTTCACAGACAGGCAGGAATCCATAATGTCACAAGAGTCACATGTTATATGGAAAAACTTAAAAACAAAAAACCACACAAATAGTTCTGCAGCACCTTAGAGACTAACAAAAAATGTAGATGGTATTATGAGCTTTCGTGGGCACAGCCCACTTCTTCAGAAGGTGGCACTGGAGCTGGGCAGCAGCCCACAGGATCTTCCAAGGAAATAAATAATCCAGTGCAAGGTCTGAACAGGGGCCAGGGGACTTCAGGGAAATTAGGAACCAAGCACAGTTCAAGCACAACCCTGGAGATTTCAACTCATGTTTTGAAATGCCTCTGTATTACTGTGTGTTTTTAGGCTGTGTGGGAGCTGACATACTAGCAATTGAGAGAACTTTGCCCACTATGAGGCACTTTATGAGAGAATCAGACGGAATCCCTGAAAGCTCCTGGGGCTTAACACTTCCCTTCATCATCTATTACAACCTTGTGGTGTTGAAACTGTTTCAGGGAAGAATGGCCTTCAGGAAGATGAGTTGACTGCGTATTTACACAAATTCCAGACCAGTAGTTCTCTGACTACTAAGAAATCCAGGGACAATCTGTCCCTCTTTTTTCCTTTTTACTCTAGCGTAAGGCAAAAAGAAGCTTAAAAATGCTTAACCACTATTCAAATAGCCCAGAGGGATAACTCTCCCATCCCTACCCCCCACTAATGTCAAGGAATTTTCCAGAAATACTTACCTCTCTTTCATGCCCCATTTTAACCAGACATCACAACAGCTTCAGTGCCAGCTTGTCCAAACATGGACTATGGTTCCTAGGCATCACAAGATTACATCCAGAAATAATCTCATCCTTAATTGAATTTCCCAGACTTTCTAGGTTACACTCAGCCAGACTTTTGATGCAAAAGTAATATAAATAATAAGGTCTTTGGAGCAGGAACCTTGTTCTTTTACCTGCTTGCAGAAATACATGGTTCTTTCCAGCGCTATATAAAGAATAATTTGAAGTTGTGCACACATGTAGGTT